TACAAACAGCACAGAAAGCCTCGGATGACTTAGCACAAAGACACAGCGTCGGCGGGAAGGCACAGGGCTGAGCGTTTCCTCATGTGAAGGACCGGGCATTACTGATGGGACAGACTTCCTCATTGTGCTATAATGGACAGGAGATCGAAGGTTCACTGGGATGAGCAAACCGAGCGCTGGGGTGGGAGGGGGGCTGCAAGGTCAGGTTTCTTAGCCTGCAGCCAAGCTCGCTGTACAGCCACATCATCCTCGCCACCACGCTGCTAGCAAATGCAGCCAGAGCTGAATGGGGTCAGAGCTGAGGAGAATGAGGCGAAGCAACAGGGAGGATGCGAAGTGGGGGGCACTGTGAGGGCTGTGGCTCTGTAAGACTTCCTGGGGTCTGGCTGGGAACAGCGGGGGATACTGGTGCTATGCGACTTCTTTTTGAGCAAGCAGTCAGTGATCTGAGGGCTGTTTGGCAAAGACAGATGGAGCTTGTCTTGAGTATTTACTGACAGCGGTTCCTCAAGCTGAATGCGATCATTATCTATCACAAACAGACCACTGAAAAGACTTTAAAAAGGGAAGTGGGTAACTCTGAGATGAGTTAATGGGACTAACACATGGTGGGAACAAGCTGCTCAGGCCACAGATGCACACCTTACGTGTGTGTTTGGTGGAGAACATGTAATGGTAGTTTTCCTACAAAAACTATACCAGAGGCTACTCTTAGAAGATTACTGGATCCCATCACTCAGGAGGCTGAGGCAGGAGGATCACCAAGAGTTGGAGGCCAGCCTGGGCTACACAGTGAGTTCAAGGACAGACTGCATTACACAGCAAGACTCTGTCTCAAAACAACAATAGACTACTGAATCATGGGGCTGGGGATTTAGCTCAGCGGCATAAGCACCTGCCTTACAAGCAGGGAGTCCCAGGGGCTGGGGATTTAGCTCAGCGGCATAAGCACCTGCCTTGCAAGCAGGCAGTCGTGAGTTCGATCCCTGGTACCGATAAAAACAAAACAAAACAACAACAGCAAAAAAGATTACTGAATCAGGTAGTTGGTAATACTGAGATTTGATATTAAGTAAAAAATCTAGTAATGTTGTATTTTGAGCATAGATTATAGCTGTGTTTATTACTATTCCCTTTGATTCCCCCTGCCTAAGACCATGATTGATGGGTTCAAGTGCAGCTTCAAAGAGGATGGAAAATATAATTAGCTCTGTGGCCATAAATATCACAAGAAGAAATACTGGTAAAGAGATCAATAGTGGGACATGCTTTTTCCCCATGTGTCTGGCTCTTTGTATAGTTGACACTGGCTTCCTACTTTGCTATGCAAGTTCTTGGGGTAAGAAAAAGGGCAGAGAAGAATGTCAGTGAGAAGCTGGTTATTCAGATCACTGAGTTTCAGGAGTATGATGTAACCACAATTAAAATACTTGTTGGGAGAATTTTTAGCATTGTAGGACACTGGAGACTTTTCACACAGTGTGAACCATATGTGTTAGATACTATGACTAGCTGTGCTAAGCCCACTGTAGCCTCACAGGCTGCAAATAAGCAACAGAACAATTGGCCCTATAAATGATAGGGTGTAGTGCAGATTTAGAATTGTAACAGCCCAAGAATATATATTGATAGCATTATGCCTTCTAGGCATAGTAGAGGAGATATAAGGTGGGCTCTGTAAATTAGCATGCCTAGAAGAGATGCAGTGTCAGCTATGATGATCTTTACGTAGACTGAGGGCATTTTGGTAATTACAAGGAAGCCATGATTTAATGAGTCAAGATCATTTGTTTTAGCACAAACTAATTATCATACTGTACTCTGTAGTCATTTTAGGAACCATTCATAGGCTAGGCTTAGGACTAAATAAAGATTAGTAGGACAAGGGCTCTAGTTGTATTTGGGTCAAATGCTTGTCTGGGATGCTTTTACATTTCCCTGAGCCTTAGAATATTCTGAAACATCACTTACCATTTCAACAGCATTTATGGCTCAACATTCTTCATAGCAACAAGATTCCAGGAGCTCCAGTGGCACAATCGGCTAGCGCACAGTACTTATATAGCAACAAGATTCCATGGGCTGCATTTAACAGAGAGGAAGGAGGACCCCAAATTCTAGCTCAAACAGCAAGAAGGTAATGGCAACATGGAAGAATTGTACAGAGAATGCAAAGTGGGCTGATTCTGCAGGGTCAAAGCTGCATCAGTGGGCTTGCTTTTTCCATATCTGGTAAAGGCTTGGGCTGGCAGTGCAGTACAGTGATAGAGCGTGTATACAGCATGTATGAGGCCCCAGGTTCAATCCCCAGCACCACCATCCTCAAACGCCTACACAGCAAAGGCTCTGAATGCAGTAGTAATGACTAGAGTCACTGACATGGTATTGGTTAATACAGTACTACATATGCTTATTGCTCTCCTTCAGATTTTACTGAAACTGACTGGAAGTCAACTGAACAACTTACTACAAAGAGAAGACTCTCATCAATAAATTGAGGCACTGAGGAATACTCGTAGTGTCAATGAAGTGTCAGTATCAGGCAGCTAGCCACTTCAGATCCAAAGTGATGACTGGATATGAAAGAGGAATTTAATTGATACAGAAGATGAACTGAATGAAATGCAGAACCAGTAAGTTACATGTAGCCCAGGAAATCTTGTTGCTATAAAGAATGTTGAGCCATAAATGGTAAGTGATGTTTCAGAATATTCTAAGGCCCAGGGAAGTATAAAACTCCAAACAGGATTGAAAAGAAGCGCTTGAATTATGTGTTTTCTGGCCCCCTTGGTCCAACTGTGGTGAGCCCAGGTAGTGGACACTCCTGAAGCTGAAGTACCAGTGTATTAAGTAGCAGGGCTTCTAGGCTTTGACGGTCAATATCATCATAGCTCAGGCACAGGGGCTGGACCTGAGTGACGGAAAGCTCAGAAAGAGCCCCAAAGACACCCCAAATAAAAGAATATTCTGTACCAAAGGCCTTTTTGAACAACTAGCATATGGTGGCACTGGAAAGTTCTTTCTCATACTGTATTACATCATCATTGTTAACAGTTCTGCTATAGTGACCCTAGAAGAACTGAGATGTTTGAGCTGAAATGAAACGATATTACTTAGGCTGATATAAGCAGGAGGGCCAAAAGTGCCCCTGTTAGTGGCCAGGGCCTAGGGTTAACCATGTGGCATGCATGTGTCTGGTACATCATTAGGAGTTACACATAGGTATGAGCTAATTAATCAAGTCAATACAGATGCTTGGATTAGGGCGACAGCAATTCCACAACTGTTAGAAGAACCAGGATGACAAATGTTACTAAACTGGGGGTTGGGGGGCTACATGTTAATGTGGCCCCTCTAATACGGTGAATCGGATGCCTGGCAGTAATGCTGGCTTTAAGTCAAGTGGCTAAACAGGCTAATAGTTTCAGGAATTACTAGTATGGGAATACGTAAAATGGGCATTCCCTGCGGTAAGAACTGTGCTAATGACTCGTCTTACAAGACCTGGTAGTTAGTACCTCTGCTCACAGTGGGGCTTACCCTGCCCAAATTTATTGATAACACACAAATAAAATAAAGGAGATCAATATTAGGGATCAAGACTATCTTTTCATGTTATGTGTTATTATCTTTACTTAAGTAGAAGTTGAACTAGAAATAAGTCGATCATTGACTAGATGGTAAAGAGGGGATAGAACATAGGGGAATGAAATGACTCAACAGTAATCCTACTATTGTAGGAATAACAAGAGAGTCAAATTTTTGTTCATTTCATTTCTCAAGAAGCTTCATGATTTATTGCTTCAAAATTCTAGGTTGGTAGATTTAGGGAATAAGTATAGATTGAAATTTTAATTGAAAGAGTAAAAATAGACCAGTTTTAAATATACTTTAATCACAACAATATCTCACAGCTCAACAGAGAATATGAGAATCCAGCTGTCTTCTACTAAGCCAAATACTATGGGAATTAGCAAAAGTGGAAAATAATGCCACTCTTCTCACTAAATTGTTTTTGTTGTGCCACGCATAACCATTTCTCTTAAAAATATGCTATTTCTGTTAGAGTACATGAGTTTAGTGTTACTCACTTTAGGTTTCAGATTTGAGTATTCAGATGATAAACACTGACAGGCATGACCCACATAAACTAAAGCTCTTGACATCTTCAGTAATTTAGGGAGTCCTAATGTTACTGAATCCAGGTCTGGAAGCACAGCCCCTGGAAAACCAATGTCCAACAGATGACTAGTGCTCGGGAGAGAGGAAGGCTTTATCTGGTAGCCAAGGATTGGAGGAGAGAGCCCTGCTCACAAACCGGCTTCTCCAGGGAGTTGGGGGTTACAGATGCAGGAGAGGGAGGCTGAGTGAGGGAGACGAGCGGCTAAAGCGGAGGAATGTGGATATCTTTTCTGGGACCAGCATCAGGGTCTAGTGTTTCTGGCCATGGCAGCAGGTGGGTGTCTTTAACCTTGATGAGGAGGAGAGAGACTAGTTAAGTGAGTCTTGGTCAAGTTAATTCTATATTATAATTCCCAATGAGACACTGTCAGCAGATCAGCATGCCTAGATGCAGAGCTGCAAGGACCCGAAGGCTCAGGCAGCAAAAGAGACAGAGGAAATATGCAGGCAGAGAGGCCACATTTCCATCCCATCCCATGCCATCACCCACTGAACCTCTGCAGGCCCACAGAAAGAGTCGGTGTCGGCAGCTGAGGCAGCCTTCCAGTCCCCAAAGAGTAACCTAGACAAGGGTAGTCATCGTGACCCACACAGCAGAGGAGTCATCTACCACCACACTGCATGTGAACTCCAAAATCAGTGAGTTTTAAGGGAACAAAGAACAAGTGAAACTAGAGGGTTTGTTTAGGATTTCTCCCTGGCAATACTGAGATGGATAACTGCAAGGAACACTGTTTTAGGGCTCTCCGCCAGGTCCGGGGCGGGGGCGGGGGGCAGGGACAACAACGCTGTTGTGGCTCTGAGCAGCTGGGCCTTACCTCCGCCTCCTCCTGCGCTGGGCTTCTTCTGGCCACCATCTAGGTCATTTCGGTCATCCAAGGCATCATATAAGCTGAAGTCATCATCTTCCAGGGGCCACAAACAAAAGAAATGGTTAGTGAGTTCAATCACGGGTAGCTCATTTGGACGCTGCCCTGGAGGGCACGTCACACCCCCTCTGCTGTCCCCACAGTGGCGCCTACCTGCAGGAATCACGGGGGCCCTGATTGTTCCTGGCCTCCTGGTTGTGGTGGTGGTGAGGTGGTCCCATCGCTCTGAAAGGTTAGGGAAGACAGCAGGGTATATGCTCAACGAGATGGACGACTGCTTCGCAGCTGGGGAGGTCACCACTGGAGTGGGGTACTCCGGTCTCCGACCCTGAGGCCCCTGTGTGTGACCTCCAAAGATTCTCATTAGGATGGAGGTCAGAGGTGGAAAGGCTTAAAGGGGGCAAGGTCTGCTCACTTTTCTTCAGGGATGAGGACAGGGAGAAAGCTGTGGTTCCATGTGTGATGAGGTACAAGAGGAGCTGGCTTGAGCCCTGGGGCTGGTGTCAGCACTGCACAGCAAGGGAGGGTCAGAGTCCAGCACAATCCCTGAGCGCCCCAAGCTGGGGTTTCTGCACTGTCAGCCTGGCACCTGGGGCCACACACAGCTCCGCCCTGGGACATACTGTGGCTATGTGCCCTGCACAAGGTATGGAGGGGTCTTAGGGACACACAGTTTATGTGAGTGTGGCTACTAATGTAGACCCTTGGATATAAAACCAGATTCCTTTGAAACTATGGACTTCATTGATGTCAGGGACACAGCATGGCATTTGCAATGTTTTCCAGTGGTTTCACTTCCGAAAGCCATGCCATAGTTCTGCTACTGAAGGCAGCAAAAGGGACATCCAGTCACAAGGCTGCATACCGCACACGCCTGATGAACAAAAGCCTCAACAGGTTTCCCATTATTAACAATGTGAGTCCCTAAACTGCCCATGGCTATTTCAAATACATTGCCTGTCTTTTCTGGATAGAGCCTCCGTGTCCTTTGTGAATCCAAAAATAGAGGCCAAAATCTTCTGCAAAGAAAATGATAGAAAAATACAGGAAGTAATGACTCCACTGATCTCATGAAGAAGAAGATACAGTATCCCTGGCTAACGGGAGGCGGGAGATGGAGAATGACGGAAGCACGATCCTCAGGAAGACGGACCTGGCTCGGATGCATAAGCACCGCATAGTGCCTCTCACAAGAAAAGCCTGGTACAGTTCTTCCTCTTCCACAGTATCTACTGTATGTTTTAGAATGTATCAGGGAGAAAATACAGTGTTTACACATGGCAGTCTGATGTATTTCACTTATGAGTGTGGTCTCCAGTTGCATCCATTTACCTTGCTCAAAAGGAAAAAGTAACTAGGACGGGTGAAAGGGCAAAGGACAGCAGGGAAAAGGGAACAAATACAAGCCAGTTACAACATTAGTTCCCTGAGTCAGTTACACTCAGTTCATTAAAAAGGAGGGTTTGTGCTAATATCAATTAGAGAAAGTTTTATGCCCATATCTTGTACCCTAAACAACTACTTTAAAGACTGTTATTCTCCTATTGTTATTCTTCTATTTTGTTATGAAATTTTGTTTTACCTTTTTTCCATAAAATAAAATAAAAATAAATTCAAAAATAAAAACAAACAAAAACCTGATAGAGCCGAAAAGAGAAGCAAACCCCAGAGTTCTACCTGGGGACTGCACCATTCCTCTCTCTGGGCAGCTGACAGAAATGCTAGACTGAAACTGTGCACAGACGCGGAGGGACGGGACACAGTAACGCAATCCACAGGTTCCTCCGCCCAAGCCCTGCAGTGCAGGGCGGACAGCTGCGGAAGCATCCACGGAATACCCACCAACAGATCCCCTATCCTGGACCAGAAAACAAAGCACGGCTGGTGTGCAAGTACTGAAGGTGCAAGTGTTGTATCTGACCGCGTGAATTTGAACTAGATACACAGAGAAAATACAATCTCTAAACATCTGGAAGCGAAACGACACACTCCTAAATAAAAGTCACAGTCTCAAGGAGATTTTTAAAAATATATAGAACTAAGTGAAAATGAAACTACAATGTATTGAAATCTGTGCAGTGCAGTCAATGCAGTGTTCAGAGGGAAGTTTATAGTAGTAAAGGCTTAGAGATGAAGATCTCAAATCAATAATCCAAGTTTCTGACTCAATAAACTACAAAACCAAACCAAAGCAAGCAGATGTAAGCAATCAGTGCAAGTAAAAATAGGAAAGTGATGCAGAAAGACAATGAAACAAAAAGCTTGTTCTTTGAAAAAGTAAGTGTAAGTCTGATAAACCCCTAGCCTCACCAAGATATCAAAGGCCAGCTAACGATACACTGCCATGAGGAGTGAAATGAGGTATCATTTCCAGTTCTTCAGCCACTAAGAAACATGATGGGATGCTAGCAACAAAGGTATGCTCGTGTATTTGACAAGCTGAAGGAAACATAGTACCACAAAACCCCACCAGCTATCAGAACATAGTCAAATCCCCTGGTCACGGATTAGAAGCCTAATATTGTTCAAATGACTACACAACCCAAGATGATCTGCAGATTCAATGTAAATCTAACAAAATACCAATATCATTTCTTATAGAAATTGATATATCCATCTTAAAATTCATATGGAACCTCAGTAAACCCCAAGTAGTCAAATATAGTCTGGAAACAGAATTCAGGTGGAGGACTCACACTTCTCAAAAATCACCACAAAGCTATCATTATCAAAACAGCATTGTACTGGCATAAGAACATGCCACAACAGGATAGAATCAAGAGGCTCCAAAGAAACTCTTGTCTGTAGGGTTAAAAGATTCCCAACAAGAGTGCCAAGACCATTCAATATAGAAAAGACTGTCTCCAACAAATGGTACTGGGCAAAGGATGTCTCACTCGGACCATTATCTTATACTATACTCAAAAATAATCCCTCATGAATCAAAGACGTAACTATAAGGGCTAAAACTAAAAGAATCCTTACAACCAACCATAGGGGGAAATCTTCATGAACGGAGGGTATTTACACATGCCTCCAGTGCTGGTGACCAGGTGGCAATGGGAGCACGACCAACATGTCCTTCCACTAATGAAGCTGTCCAAATGGTCAGACAGCCCAACAAAGAAAGGTTCAGGCAACTACAGAAAGGAGTCCTAAGAGGCACTGCATTCCAAGGTCCTTAACCAAATGGTGCAAAATAAGCACCATTCCATTGTTTCCTCTGACCAAAGATGGCATCTGATGAGCCTCAGAAAGCCCAACCGATTACAGCTTCCTCGGGTTTACGAGGTGAAGGGAGTCCACAGGAGGAGGAGTCCAAATATACTCTTCTCTTAGAAGTGTCCCAGGCGGGACTTTCATTAAAACCCCAGCAGCCGCAGTGATTCACCTGCACCACTACCGAGTTAAACCTGGTGCTCTAGGGGCAGCGCCAGCTGGCTTTGGACACGTTGGGCTCAATGCCAGAGCTCACTCACATGGCTGCTGCCCAGGGCCACTGTGTTACCGCAGGGCTTGGTGGAACTCTGGTTGTTCCTGGCTTCCTGGTGGCAGTGAGGCGGCCCCATCTCTGTAAAGCAGGAGGAAGACAGCAAGGGAAGCTCCTGTTTGACTTGCAGAAGTTGCGCCACGAGCAGAGTTTTCCTGTCCTAGTCCTTGGGGCCCCCTGGGCTAGCCCTGCAGGGGACCCATGAGAAGAACGATAAGGATGGAAGAGTAAGGGACAGGGTATGCCTCCACATGTCCTGGGACTTTGGGGAGCGAGGGCTCAAGCCCAGATGTGCCAGTGATGATCACGTGGGCAAGGATGCCAGGAGTTACATGACATGCACGAGTTTACCTTTTGTTCCTTTCACACATGTCGAGACTGTGTTGTATGTCTTTCTACTGTACAAAGAGGTAGAAGGAGAAAAGACTTCAGAAATGGCCAAGTCCCAGAAAAAGACTTAGCTTAGTATGCGAGCTGCACTCAGTAATTATGGACTGCTCAGAGAGCAAGCAGCCAAAGTTGAAATCATCTAAAAGTAAAACGGTGCAGATGACAGCCATGGTGAGCTACAGTGGCTGCACTAGCATCAAAGGCAATGGGCATTCACATCCAAATTGTGACAAAGCCAGGCTGATGTAAGGACTGAAAGAAAGCAACCCAACAGAGGATAGGACAGCTCACACAGGAATGTGCTAACAGAGCTCCGAAGACAGAGCAAATGTGCCACGACAGGAGGGAAGAACAGATGTTCTGACAACAGCAGCCCGGCCTTCACACCCCACTTTCCTGCATAGAAGGGACATGACAAAATCCAAAAGGAAGTACGAGACTTGGACAATTCCATACAGCAGCTAGACCTAACAGTCACCTATGCGATTTCCCAAGCAGTGACAGAATACACCTCCTAGGCCACACACAGGTGACAAGTAAGTCACAATGGATGTAGCAGAGTTCACCTATACAGATTCTATTTTTCAACTACAAAGGAATGAAAGCAAATCAGCAACAGAAGGGCACTTAGAAAATTCACAATTATGAGGAAATTAACGCACTCCTGAATAACAAACAAAGAAGAAATCACAAGGAAAATTACAAATATTTTGAAATGAACAAAAATAAAAATAAAACATACTAAAATTTATGTTACAGTACAAGCAATCCTCAGAGAGAAATTTCTATCAGTAAGTGTGAACATTAAACATGAGATGGGGGTTTGGCAACACAGCTCAGTGGTAGGTAAGATAACTGCCAAGCACGCACAGGGTTCAATCTCAGGTACCATCAAGACTTCACTGAGCCATAAAACTGGTGTGTGCCTGTAATTCCAGCTACTTGGGAGGCAGAGTGAGAAGGGCTGCAAGTTCAAGACCAGCCTGGGAAATTTATTCAGACTGTCTCAAAATTTTATTTAGTTTTACTTTCTTTTTTTATCAAAATAAAGATTTTTTAAAGGCTAGGAATGTAGGTCATGGTAGAATGCTTGCCTAGCATACGCAATACCCTGGATTCCATTCCCAACACTAAAAAATAAGTAAATAAAAATTAAAAAGGAAAAGAAAGATCTCAAATCAATAACCTAAACTTTAATACTAAGGAACAAAGTCAGATCTGTTGGTCTATGCTGACAGTCCCAGCTATTTAGGAGGCCAATGCAAGACTATCACTTGAGTCCAGGAGTTCAAGATCAGCTTACGAAAACAAAAGGAGGGAAAGACGTTATGAAAAGAAGAGCAAATTAAGTGTTAAGCAGAGAAAGAAAATACTGGTTGGGGGTTTAGCTCAGCGAAATAAATGCCTGCCTTGCAAGCACAGTTGTGAGTTCAATCCCTGGTACCAAAAAAAAAAAAAAAAAAAAAAAAGGAGAGACAGACAAAGAGACAGAGACAGAGACAGAGAGAGAGAAAATACAAAGACTACCCCAGAAGTATATGAAATAGAATTTAAAAATAATAAGTAACATCAACAAAACTAAAAATGTTATTTATTTTAAGAGATCAATAACTTGGATAAACTGTTAGCAGTCTAAGACAAAAAAAGAAGACCTAGATTATTAAATTTAGGAATGAATGGATATCACTATTAACCTTACATGAATGAAAAAGATTGCAAAGGAATACCTTAGTAATTACAACCCAATCAAGTAAATAACCCACATGAAATGGATAATTTTTTGTTGTTTTTGAAATAGGGTCTCTCTACATAGTCCAATCTGGTCTTGAATACACTATGTAGCCTAGGCTGGTCTCAAACTCCCAGCAATTCTCCTTCCTCAGTCTCCTGAGTTCTGGTATTATAGGCAGCCACCACACTTGGCCTGAAATGGACAACTTCTTATTAAAACACAAACTAATACAGCTGATACAAGAAGAAACAGAAAACCTGACTATAAAAAACTTTTAAGATTTTGAGACAAAATACTTCATTGGTGAGTTTTACCAAATGTTTAAAGTACAGTAAATACCAATTATTTGCAAACTCTCTCCAAAAATATAGGTACACTTCCAGGCTAGAAAACAGTGTACCACATGTGGACTGTATTATATTGGGCAGTTTTTTTTTTTGTTTGTTTTGTTTTTTGTCTTTTTCCTTTTTTTAATGGTACCGGGGATCGAACTCACGACTGCCTGCTTGCAAGGCAGGCGCTTATGCCGCTGAGCTAAATCCCCAGCTATATTGGGCAGTTTTGCTAAACGAGTAGATTTTGGCTGCTCGTGGTACCAAAAAATGAGTATGTGGGGTGACATTCTCTAGCTTTTCTATGGTGAATATTTTACCTCCTAAGTGTATTTCCTAACATCATGTTTTATACCTTAAATGTACAAAAGAAAATTTATTTTAAAAGTAAGATGGTTAATTTTATATTGCATATATGTTACCCCAATAATCTTTTTTGACTTTTGATACTTTTGAGGGTTTGCTGTGTAGTTCAGGCTGGCCGACAACTCACGGCAACCCTCCTGCCTCAGCCTCCCAAGGGCTGGGATGACAGCCATGCAGCATTTATTGAGGCCTAGTAAATTTTTTTAAAGAGGGAGACTGAAAAAAGAGACCATTTTGGAGTTGGATGCACACTGTCTTGCAGTTCAGTTTTAGCAAGAAGCATATCTGGAAGGGGCTAATAGCCCCTTAGAGTGAGCCTATCAGCATGTGCACATAGGGGCTTCTTTACACATATGGCCATATGAAGACCACATCAGCTGAAAGGTTTTTATGGCAAAGAGGACCTGATGAGGTAAGGCTGTTAGTATACATAACACGAGGAAAACGATATGGAGGTTTCTAAACCAGCTTGTCATCAGCGCAAAGGTGGCAGCTGCCTATAATTTGCATCTGACACTGCACCTGGCAAATGAAGATGCTCTTTGTGTGCATCTATCCCTGTAATGGTGACACAGGCGGCAGGCACGTGAAATGACATGACAGACTTCTCTGGCAACTCTGAGCACAGCAACTGCCTTCAAGTAAGTAATTAGCTTTGACCCTGAGTGACTCAAACAGCTGTTGGGTAAAAACATCTGTGTGTTCTCTAGTCCATGTCTGTAGACTCTAGAGGTGGCACTCACCAGGAGATGGGTGAGGAGGAGTGGGGAGCTGGTGCAGGGATGTGACCCATCCCCCATCTCTTGGTCCCCTATCCTTTGCAAAACATCTATCTCCCACCAGGCATGGTGGCATACACCTGTAATCCCAAGCACTTGGGAGGCTGAGGTAGGAAGATTGCTGCAAGTTCGAGGCCAGCTTGGTTTACACAGAAAGACCCTGTCTCAAATGAAACAAAAACAAAACTATCTCCCTACTTCCTGCCATCTACCTTTTAGTTTGTTCTTTCATTTATGTATACTTTGGCTTTCTCATGTAAGAAAAATCATGTGATATTAAGCTTCTGTAAAAACATCCATTTACCCTTTTAAAAAAATGACCAGCTGACAACACACATGAAGATATACCTTCAGCCTCTCAGTTCCATTCCCCCACTCAGTCATTGCTCCTGCTGCCCTGTGCCACATGACCTGCTTGGCAAGGCCTCTGGACAAGTCTGATTCTTCCAAAGGTCTGCACAGATCACCTCAAGAGAGCGAGGTCTTTATGGGGGCCTGGGAGTATGTGCTCTCGGAGGTTCAGCCTGTTCCCTGCACAACTTCAGCTTGCCATGTTGGACTTTCAAGGAAAGTGCACCTAGCACGGTAGCACACACTTGCCCTTCTAGCACCTGTGAGGCTGAGGCAGGAAGACCACTGCAAGTTCAAGGCTAGTGTGGACTAGACAGCAAGTTCAAGGTCAGCAGGAGCCTGTCTCAACTCTCTGCCATACACACAATAAATTAAGAAAGTATTCACCCTAGATTTTCTTGGCATGAGTCTCTGAATGGGATTCCTTTGGGCCACTAACTGAGACGAGGTGTGCCTAGCTACTCATCGAGGACTACAGGAAGAGCACGTCAGCTGTCCAAGGAGTGTGCGCCTCAAAGAAAGAAACCAATTTCCCTGAATCTGTATCAAAATGACAAGCTCAGAATTCTTCCTTGTCCAGCAAACGCTTCTGGGGGTCAAGTCCTTCTCCAAGGAACTCTGCTATGGCATGGTGATCAGAGCAGTAAGAGATATTGGGGTCCCGGTGTGCTAAGCTCAGAATGCCTGGTTCTCCCTGGAATTCTGAGGTGGAAGCCCAGCCCTGTGATGACAGTATAAAGTCATGGGCCCTTTGAACATGATTAGTTAAGAGGGTACTGCCTGATGAATGGCATCAGTGCCCTTATGGCATCAGAAGCCTTGCCAGGCGTGGCGGCACATGTCTGTAATCCTAACACTCAGGAGGCTGAGGCAGAAAGATCACTGAGAATTTGAGGCCATCATGGGCTACATAGTGAGTTCAAGGCCAGCTTGAACTACAAAGTGAGACCCTGTCTCAAAAAAGCAAGCACGCAAGAAAAAAAAAAAAAGAAAAGAAAGATTTATCCAGGTGTGGCAGTGCCTGTCATTCCAGTACTCAGGAGGCTGAGACAGGAGGATCACTGCAAGTTCAAGGCCAGCCTGAACTACACAGTGAGGCCCTGTCATAAAACAAACCAACAAAGCAGCTTTGGGCAGCTCCTGTGCCCCACAAGACATGTGAGCACATGGAAGGTGCTGGTTAGGAAGCAGAGAGCAGCCCGCACCAGGCGCTGAGTCTGCGGTCACCTGGAACTTTGGACTTCAGAAACATGAACTAAAGATACCTCTATCCTGGCTCCATCATTAGTCTGCGAATGGTATCCCTTTCCCAGCAAAGCTACGTCCAAATCCTGAGGGGGCATCTCCTTACACTTGGAATAAAAGTCACTGCTGTGCCTGGATTGCCTGACACCTACAGCTTCGAGGAAGAGAGATGTCATTTGGCTCATGGTTGCAGAGGACTGGGTCCATGGCCAGGCAGCTCCAGGGCAGAAGCATCACCATGGAAGGCCATAGCGAAACAAATCTGCTTAGCTCACAGTGCTCAGGAAGCAGAGCAGTGCTGGAGAGGAAGGGGGCTGCTAGAGTCCCGCCAGGGGTGCAGTGCTACTGCACCAGACGGCTGCTGGCTTCAGAACTATGAGAGGGCAAGGTTCTGTGCTCTCACGTCAGACATTGTGCAGCTGGTATCCTTACGGCAGTTCGAACAATCTACTTACAAACAGACAGACTCTCTCCTGACTGCAATACACTGAAGGAAGAAGAGCACAGAGCCCTCACGGGATACCTCGCCACACCCTTCCACTCATGGCAGGGCCCTCCCGGCACCTGCTAGAGGCAATCTAGTTCCTGATGACCATGCTAGCAGGTAAGGAAAACCCAGGCTAGCCCATTTTCCTCGTGTCGTGTCCTAAGTGAGTAGTCTGTGTGAACTCCCATGGGTGGCTGTAACACTTTGATTCATTACTCACGCTTTACTGAAGAACTTTCTGGCAGTGCGTATTCCAGACTCAATACATCATTCTTGTCCCCAGCTCCTAAAAGTAAAGAGAAGTTTAAAATTTACATATCTTTGCATGAAACAGAAGAATGCTCTTCTCACATGGTCATTTCTCTTTAGACAATGAAATGATGGAAAAAGACATTCCCTGCAAATGGAAACTGGAAGGGTGAGAATAGCTGTACTCCTATCAGAAAAAATACATTTTAAGTCAAATACTGTAAAAGGAAAAAGTCATGACATGACCGTAATGATAAAAGCATGAAATCATCATGAAGTTACAACTGTAATCTATATGCAGCCAATATCGCAGCACTGATATACACAGGCAAACATTAACAGCTATGAAAAGAGACTATCACATAGGAGAAGTCAGTAGCCACTCTCAACACTACCTAGACGATCTAAAGAGAAAATCAATAAGGAAACACTGTGTGTCCCACGAGTCTAACAGCTATGGCAGAACTCTGTCCAACACTCACAAAAACAAGGCGCAGCAAATTTCAGAAGACTAAAAATCCTATCAAGTAGGTTTCCCACATGGGAAGAGTCCTGGAGAGCTCACAGCTGTGTGGGAATTATACATGCTCTTGAGTGACCAGTAAGTCAAAGAAGAAACTGAAAGGGAAATTTAAAAATAAATAAAAAATACTAACACAACACACCAAAATTAATAGGATGTGAAGAAGTCACCTAGAAGCAAGCCCTCCCTGTAAATTGGCACCATGCACAGGCTGCTGGGGGGACAACCAGACACCAGCCTTTTCCCATGAGTCAGTGCCATTCACAGACTGTGGGAGAAGAAAAGAAGAAGTCACCTAGAAACAAGCCCTCCCTGTGAGTCGGCACCATGCACAGGCCACTGTGGGGAAAGCCAGATGGCAGCTCCTTTTGGCTGCAGGCTGGGAAACAAGAAGGGCCAACCCCCACCCCCCACCCCTGCTGTAAGCAACCAGCTGATCCAGAGAAACACAGGCCAAGATGCTAGCTATTGAGGTAAAATACAATTTAATGCTTGCAGTGTTTGTTACAATGACTTTGCAGGCTTAAAGCTGGTAGTCTGATCATTTAGTCACCGGACAACAGTACGCAGTGTGGCATGAATGAGGGAATCTCTTTCTGAAGGTGGTATCCACTGTTAATTATTACCTATTATCTTGTTTTGAAGTCCTGTATCATTTTCATTATTTTGTTGGGTTGAGTTTTATTGTTTTGTTTTGTTTGATTTTGTTATATCCGATGGTGTGAGCAGACATTTCCAAGATAACAAGATGAATTATGGCTGCCACTTTGCATTTACTACTACCCTGTTTTGAAGTCCTTTATTGCATTCACTGTTTTGTCTTTATTGGATCTCTTCTGTTCTGTTTTATTGGATTTTTACTATGTCTGAAGGTATCCGCAGCTATTTTAAAGACAACAGGCATTATAATAACCATTGTTGATTTCCTATTGTTCTGAAGTTCTGTGTCACTTATACTGGTTTGTTTAGATTGGCCTTATTCTGTTTTATTTTGCTTGGTTTTATTCTCTTTAAAATAAAAAAAAGTAATAATGGGTTGCAACAAAAGCAGTTCAAACAGGGAAGCTGATAACAATAAATGCCTATGTAAAAACAGGACAGAGATCTCAAGTAAAACTAATGTTATACTTCAAAGAACAATAAAACTTAGCAGAAGGAAGGAAATAAAGATCAGATCAAAAACAAACAGAAGAGAGCTAGGTGTGGTGGTGCAAACCTGTAATCCCAGCATTTGGGAGGCTAAGGCAGGAGGATCATTATTTTGAGGCCAGCCTGAACTAAGAGGCCCAGACAGCAATCAGGAGAAGTGTTTACAGATGTGCATTTGTACACATGTACCCTTGCTGGGTTCCCTGAGGGGCAGAGAAGCAACCACATCCAGCAGCAGTGAGCAGCATGGTGTTGACTTCCAACAACTTTCCCCAGCAACAGGGGTGGGGTTCCTTGGGAAAGTGGCAGTTTAAGGACCAGAGCAGAAAACAGGTGCTGTGAACTTGCAGCATCTCATGATGCCAGGAAGCAAAAAAGTACTTTTTAAAAGGCATATTGGGCCAGGGATGTAGCTCAGTAGCACACGCACTTGTCTGGCAAGCACAAGGTTGTAAGGTCATGAGTGCAATTCTAGTACAAAAAAAAAAAAAACCAAATACATACATATATACACACATACATAAATAGCACATTGGTGCCAGGCATGGTGGCATATGCTTGTAATCCCAATACTTTGGAGGCTGAGGCAGGAGGATCACCACAAGTTTGAGGCCACTCTGGACTACATGGCAAGACCCTGTCTCCAAAAACAAAAAACAAAAATTAAAAAATAGGTCACACTGGTGAGCATATGTAAACAGAGCACAGCAGATGAATCAGAGAGCTCCCAATCACTGCAGCTGGAACAACCTGAACATAAAATACAGTACTGGATTATACCCTAGCAGGCAGAATCAGTGGCCATACTTCTGTGATGACAGAAAGGGGGAGAATCAACAAGCCTCCCATGCAGAAGCAGGCCACCTATCTTCTGCAGATGAACCCTCACGGGGATGGTACATGACCCCACCCCCAGGAAGTACAGCTGTATGGAGTCAGTGTGGGGATGGGGGAGAAGGGGGACTGTTAATTGCCAAGCGCTGCCTCAGCCAAGGTCAACATCTGAGGATACCCTGAACAGGACGTGAGGCGTGAGGCTAGTGGCACTTTACTCCAGGGCATGATCACGAGAGAAACACTAGCCGACCAAACTGTCAAGAGTCCTCAACACCAAAGCAGTCTGTGGAATGCGTACAGCCCCAGAGGCCTATGGACACTGTGACTGGAAGGCAGATGGACCAGACTGGATCCCAGACCACAAAGGGACCGTGGATAAAAGACACGGAACTGTGACTGAAGTGTTCAATTACCAACAGGTAACATTGGTTCTTCAGTCGTGACAAATGTGCCATGCAAATATAAAATGTTAATAATGGGGAGACCGAATTCGTTGTGGCCTCATGACAACATGAAGAGTAACCATTAAAAATATGTGTGATAGATCACCTCAAAATCATCCAAGAAAAGGGAGGGAAGAGAACAAAAAGGAAAAAACCAATGACCAAACTCAGTCTCCAAAGAGAAAAAAAGAACCAAGAAACATGGTCAGCGGAAAGCACGATGCTAACACAGGAATATGCAAGCTCCATGGAAAATGTCCCTTGGATGCCATGACATTCGCGGGAGCTGCTGTGGGCGCTGAGTGTAGGGATATTGGAAGAGCCACATCACACGGGCATGGATGAAGTGTGGGCCGGGAGGCAGCGCCCATCCTGGAGGACCCCCCTGGACTACACAGGAAGAAGGTTCCAGGGGAGGATGCCCCACCATTAGCAGGTGCGTGCTGGAGCATCAAGAGGTCATGGGCACAGTCCCCACAACTGATGCTTGGGAAATGCTCACGTGTGTGAGGGAACCGCTCAGAAAACCATCCAACTGGGAATGGGCTGAAGGACCAGTGTGACACTGCTGTGGCAGTGCAATGGCTGCACGGCACCTGAGCGCTACGTGGCTAGCATCCTGACTGGGCCTTGCACACGGTGTGCGGGTTTTCTGGATTGGTGGAAAGGTATTCGGTGCCCAGTGTGAGGGTCAGAGAGTCAACAGGGCATCCAGAAACCACCCACACTCGAGTGTGTTCAGGGAAAAACCAAGTTTCTTATGCTTTCAAGTTTTGCAGAAATGTGTGGTTATTTTGACCTTTAACAATTTTAAATCTGCGTATTTTTTTCAACTTAGTCATTCTACTTGTAGACAACCATCAGAGAAAAGCATTTGGAACATGTACCCAGAGAGGCCAGATGCCCAATGGTGCCTGCTGTGGCACTGCATGTGACAGCAAAGAGAAACAGACACATCCCTTCGAAGGCATGAACCATCCAAAGCTGTGAGCCCAGCCAGCTCATCTGTATCTGGCTACCCATCTTCAGGTAAAAGACTTAAGAACAACTATTTTGTAGTATTAATTAGTTTCGCACTGACCTTGAATTCAATAGATCCAAACCCTCTATGGATAAAACTATTCAGTCTCACGCTAAATCCTGAACTAGGAAAGACTTCCCCCAACCAGGCATAATCCCAGCACTCAAGAGGCTGAGGCAGGAGGATCACAAGCCTAAACCCAGCTTGGGCTACATAGGGAGTTCAAGGCCAGACTGGACTACATAGTGAGCTCTTGTCTCAAAAGAATAAAAAGTTAAAAATAAAAAGACTTCTTCAAAGTCTACAATTGGGCAGAGATACAGTTTAGCAGTATAGCACTTGATGAGCATATTTGAAGCCTATATCCAATCCCCACTACCACACACACACACACACACACACACACACACACACACCTAAAACCAAGCAGACTTCCTAACATTGAGACAGGAATAAATGCTTACACATCTCAAATGGGGTCCCACGAGCTCCTCCCTTATGGCCCTTCTGGGCCAGCCCTACCTAGACAACTCAGTCTGGGGCACAGGCAGTGCTCCTTCTCACACCCACACACTTCAGAAAGCAGCTAATTCTTCCAAGCCTCGGTTCACAGCCCCAGTCCCTATGTCTGGCGGCCACGAGTCAGGAATCCAGCTAAAAGGTCCCCTCCCACCACTGCAGAGGACTATAAAGAACTCCTGTGGGTGGGAAAAACACTCAATGAGCCATTAATACCTGTCTGCAGATGTCTGTCTGAACTGGAAGTGCCTGCCTGCACACCCTGTGGGGCCCCACAAAGATCTACTGAATAATGAAAACATGCTGCCACCCCCACATGGTCTCAGGGGCCAGGGACAAACAGATTTTGTCCCTTTGAGAAAAAAGATGAAGTTGACCTCCTATTGCAACCTGCCTGCCTCAGCTGGCATCTGAAGGTGCACGTGCATTTTAATGAAAGCTGTTAAACAAAGCGCAGGCAGCCTCATCAGAAGAGGCTGGCTTGAGCTGGCTTTGAGGTGGGCCTGTCAGAGCCTGGAGGAAACATCTGATCCATAAGACAGTGA